CTGCAAAAAAAAAAAAAAAAAAAAAAAATGGAAAGAATGGCCAGACACTGGCCAGACCTTTCACAAAAAAAAAAAAAAAAAAAAACATCTAGGTTCCTGGTTCACAATCTTGTGCTCAAGCAGCAGAGAGATGACTTTGGGTACCTTCTTCATGCCAGTGTTGGTAACTAAGTGCCAGTCAAAAAAAAAAAAAAAAAAAAAAAGAGGAAGATAACCACCCTGCCCTATGAGTTTTCATAAAAAAAAAAAAAAAAAAAAAAATGGACTCTTTGTATCCTGCGTTCCAGAAAGAATTTAAAAAAAAAAAAAAAAAAAAAAACACTTATGTTTCCTCAGCTTGATTATAAAGAAATTGTCTGTAGTTTGGCCTCTGAATTACCTTCCCAAGTATGTAAGTCAAAACCATGCACGTAAAAAAAAAAAAAAAAAAAAAATAGACTACAGACATTTTAGTGAAATGGGGTCAAACCAAAAAAAAAAAAAAAAAAAAATGTTGTTGTTGTTGAGACAGGGTTTCACTCTGTTACCAAAAAAAAAAAAAAAAAAAAAAATCATGGCTCACTGCAGACTTGACCTCCCAGGCTCAAAAAAAAAAAAAAAAAAAAAACAGGTAGCTGGGACTACAGGCGTGCACCATCATGCCCAAAAAAAAAAAAAAAAAAAAATTTTTTTGTACAGGTGGGGTTTCGCCATGTTGCCCAGAAAAAAAAAAAAAAAAAAAAATCAAGTGTTCCACCCCTTCAGCCTCCCAAAATGATGGAAAAAAAAAAAAAAAAAAAAACACCCGACCCTGAAACAGTTTTAAAAATCACATGCTTGTCTTGTTCAAAATGGCTTCAAGTTGCTAGTCCAATGTTATAACCTAACAAACATTATAAAAAAAAAAAAAAAAAAAAAGGATGGTCTCTCTCTATTGAGATCTTAGAGATACTGAAAAAAAAAAAAAAAAAAAAAAGTTTCTAGTTTTTGAAAAACACAGAAAGACAATTGAAATCCTATAGCAGGCCAGGCGCAGTAGCTCACACCTGTAATCCCAGAACTTTGGGAGGCAAAAAAAAAAAAAAAAAAAAAAGGTCAGGAGTTCGAGACCAGCCTGGCCAAGATGGTGAAAAAAAAAAAAAAAAAAAAATACAAAAATTAGCTGGGTGTGGCGGCGCACACCCAGTAAAAAAAAAAAAAAAAAAAAAGCTACTCAGGAGGCTGAGGCAGGAGAATCGCTTGAACAAAAAAAAAAAAAAAAAAAAAGAGCTGAGATCATGCCACTGCACTCCAACCTGGGTGAAAAAAAAAAAAAAAAAAAAAAAAAAAAAAAAAAAAAAAAGGAGGAAGGAAAGAAGGAAAAAAAAAAAAAAAAAAAAAAAGCTATAGCAAAGTGAGCAGATTTACTTTAAAAAAATTAAAAAAAAAAAAAAAAAAAAATTTCCCAAATAAGTGAGCAAATTTAACTTAGCAATATAAAAAAAAAAAAAAAAAAAAAGTGAGAGTCCAGGTGTCACACAGAAATTGAGCTCTGGGATTCAAAACAATTGTCACTGCATTCAAATCCTATTACAAAGCAGTGTGCACATATGAAAAAAAAAAAAAAAAAAAAAAATGTTCCATGAGCCAAGCAACTTAAAAACAGAAATAAAAAAAAAAAAAAAAAAAAAAAAGGGTGACTGGACAATCCCAAAGCCCTGGAGCTTGAGAAAAAAAAAAAAAAAAAAAAATGACCATTATTCCTCTAGGAAAAAGCCACTTTCACAAAAAAAAAAAAAAAAAAAAAAATTCTTTTCTGCATATATGTGGGAGGAGGTAGGCAGTACTGATTATTGAGTAAGAGCTTGAATGCAGAACCAAATACCAGCTGGGAGCCCTGGGGAAAAAAAAAAAAAAAAAAAAAAGTTTTGGTTCCTCCACCTGGAAAACAGGCATGACAATAAAAAAAAAAAAAAAAAAAAATACCAGAACTAACTAAGATAATGCAGCAAAACTCTCAAAAAAAAAAAAAAAAAAAAAAGGGTTATTATAATACTATTATTATTACCACTGTGCTTAAAAAAAAAAAAAAAAAAAAAGTTCACATTAACTTGACATGTTTAAACTTTTGGGTATAAAAAAAAAAAAAAAAAAAAATCTTTCTGTTACATTAGGGACACTTAGATTGTTCCAGAAAAAAAAAAAAAAAAAAAAATAGGATGTTCTCTCCATTTTGATATACTGGCTTGTGAAAAAAAAAAAAAAAAAAAAAAGATTGAGAGTATCTGCCCGTTGGAAAATGGGATTATCAAAAAAAAAAAAAAAAAAAAATTCTCTAGTCCATGTTTATACCCAACCTTAGCTGCATAAAAAAAAAAAAAAAAAAAAACTTCCAGCTTTAAGGAAAACAGGTACAAATTTCTTTTAAAAAAAAAAAAAAAAAAAAACTCGCTCTGTCCCCCAGGCTGGAGTGTAGTGGGCTATCTCTGCTCACTCTAAGCTCTGCCTCCTGGGTTCACGCCATTCTCCTGCCTCAGCCTCCTGAGTAGCTGGGACTACAGGCGCCCACCACCGCGCCTGGCTAATTTTTTGTATTTTTAGTAGAGACAGGGTTTCACCGTGGTCTCGATCTCCTGACCTTGTGATCCGCCCGCCTCGGCCACCCAAAGTGTTGGGATTACAGGCGTGAGCCACCGCGCCCGGCCCAAATTTCTAACTAGTCAATCACATATGATGATTTTTTTTTTTTTTTCCTGCTGTATGCTCATCTCTGCTATCTACTTTGGGGCCTAAAAGTATGTGTGCTGTTCTGATAGAGATTTTAATTCTATGCCCTATCCAAACTTTGCTACTCAACTGGCTTTTTGGTTTGTTTTCTGTAACAGGCTTTTGCTCTGTTGCCCAGGCTGGAGTGCAGTAGGGCAATCACGGCTCATTGCAACCTTGATCTCCCTGATTCGAGCAATCCTCCCATCTCAGCTTCCCGAGTAGCTGGGACTACAGGGGCATGGCATCACATCCAGCTAATTATTTTGTATCTTTTTGTAGAGATGAGGTTTCATCATGATGCCCAGGCTGGTGTCGAACTCCTGGGCTCAAGTGATCTGCCTGCCTTCGCCTCTCAAAGTGCTGAGATTAGAGGCGTGAGCCACTGCACCTGGAAACTGTTTTTTTAATTATCCTAATTACACAATTCTAAGTGTTTTAAAGTTACAAAACAAGATCTCTATTTTTTTTAAGTGCACTGCACAGGAAAAAAAAAACAAAACATGTAATTACACAGGTTATTACATTGATAATTACCTGTTATAATTATATTTTTATATTCCACTTTGGTTCAAGAAGTTTTGGTTTAATTATAATTTCATGAAGGCATGACCATTTGTAATTTCATTAAAGAATGCATACCTTTTAAAGCAAATCTGTAGTGTTTTACATTAATTCCAGGAGTTATAAAATAATGACATTTTAAGGTATGTGTATGTGTGTGTGTCTTAAGCAAAAACATTCCCTCACATCCTGTGATCCCAAATCTCACTGTTTTCTCACAGCTGAAGTCCATGACATGATTTTTTAGAATGATGGCCATCTTTAAAAGAGTAATGTTTATTCCATCTTGGAGACCTTTAGGGAGAGATATATCATAATGTTCCAATTTCTACTAGTACTTACTATAAAGAGCATTTATGTTATATTAAACCGAAATCCACTCCAGCTGCTTTTTAAATTCATTTCTTTCTAATCTGTCCTCAGTAGAGATTTTAAAAACAAACAAACAATCAAACATTCTCCAGGACATCCGAAAGATGTACTCTTTAACAACCCTCAGACATTCGAAGACTGTGATTAAGTTCTTTTCTGCTTCTTTGGGATAAATCCCTCCCAACTTCTCCCCATGGGATCAATTTTTTAAAAACCTCCTATGGACTCTATATGTGTCCAAATCTCTGTGATTTGATGCACAATAGCTTTTACAAGGAAATGACTCAATAATACATCTAGGTTCCTAGTTCATAATCTTGTGCTCTGGTATACCAGATGCCCAGATTACCTTAATGACTTTATAAGAATGTCCGGTAGGTATAAATTTACACACCCTGCTCTAGAGAACATGAGTAAGAGAAGCTGTCTCCACAAAGATATCTAGATGGCTGCTCCCCAACCGCAATCAGCTTTCAGACATCTTATCCCTGGCATGACAAACTCTACAATGCCAGTCACCCTCCAGGGCTCCCCACTCCATTTGGAATCAGGCTGAGTGAGGCTAGACTCCTCCTGAAATCACATCTCTGTCCAACTTCATCCTTCTCCCTCACTTAGAGGTTTCTCTTTAAAGCCTTCTTTCAATAAGCCACTTGCACCATGCTATATATAGTTTGGATGTCTCTTTCCCCAAACCTCATACTGAAATTGAATTCCAATACTGGGGAAGGGGGCCTAAAGAGAGGTGTTTGGGGCCATGAGGGAGGATCCCTTAAGAATAGTTTCATACCCTGTGGAGGGGTGGGGAAGGTGATTTCTCACTCTATTTGTTCCCCAAAGAGCAGTTGTTATAAAAGAGCCAGGCACCTCCCTTCTCTTGTTTCTTCTTACCAAGTGATCTCTGCACACACTGCCTTCCACCGTAAGTGGAAGCAGCCTGAGGTTTTCACTAGATGACTACTCTCCCAGCAGGTAGAATCATGAGCCAAATAAACCCCTTTTCTTTGTAAGTTACCCAGTCTCAGGTATTCCTTTATAGCAACACTAAATAGACTGATACACAAGAGTCCCTGTCTCAGGCTGTGCTTCCGGGGAATCAGATGTATGACACCCGGAATGAAGAAAAGTTTGGACTAGGCACGGTGGCTCACGCCTGTAATCCCACCACTTTGGGAGGCCAAGGCAGGTGGATCATTTGAGGTCAGGAGTTCGAGACTAGCCTGGCCAACATGGTGAAACCCTGTCTCTACGAAAAATCCAAAAATTAGCTGGGCCTGGTGGCGTGTGCCTGGAGTTCCAGCTGCTTGGGAGGCTGAAGCAGAAGAATTGCTTGAATCTGG